TGAGTGTTGCTGAGCTCACCTTTCCTGAGTACTGCTGAACTCTTGAGTGTCGAGCCACTTGCTTCTCCCACCTCACAATCTTAACTACACTACTCATGTAATAAAATTATTATTATTATTATTATAATAAAAAAGAAACGCTAAGCCACAAGGGCTATACAGCTCGTGTAATAAATAAATAAATAATAAAAAAAAAAGCCTCTAGATTAGAAATCTCTAGCTTATGAAGTAATATTTTCAAAGCTACCTCAAGGTGAGCGAAAGAAAATTCCTTCGGTTTTGCTCACTTTCAGTGAGATGTTTTTCTTGATACAGATATGATAGCTGACAGTAAACTGACACTGTTACATCTCTGTTGCAGCAAGTGAGCTGGTCTCTTCAATACTGTAGGAACCTGCTTTCTTAAGTGTCACTGTGTTGCATGCCAAGGCAATTATCCTATTTAGTGACCGTAATTATCCTCACTTGAAAACTGAGAGGAAGTACTTGGATTCATTCAAAAACATTACCTATGGCAAGACGAGGAGGAAGGTCAGGGAGACACATCAGACTTCTCAGCCCGATGGATCCTATGCATCTGATCTGAGTAATATAGCTGAGTAAAGTAGTGACTGTACTCAGATTAGGTCTCAGCTTAACGTCTATTCAGTAACTGTTTGACCTTTTTTTTCGCATGAATCCATCCTCACCATCAACTTTGCTCCTACCTCACTGTCGCACCCCAATTATTCTGTTGTCTTCTCATGTAATAAGAATATATGGAGAGTCTCTGACGCTCCAGCAGTTTACTAAAGCCCACGAAACCCATGTAGCACATCTTTACTTACCTGAAGCCTTCAGGTTTCTAACACATTACTTTCCGTTCTAGATCGTCTTCGATAGACTGAAACTAAGATGAAACAGTCACTGGTCGAGAGGTCGTGTTGTTCCTCTCTATCGAGATGAGCGCATCACTAAAACCTCAGATCTTTTAAACCATCTTGTTTACCGTTTTACGGTAAAATAGTTGGGTCTTATATCCAATTAGGAACACCTTCAGTTGTTGCTATTAGTGCACAGACGGTTTGGTCGACATACAATCGATTAGCTAACAGAATGTAGGGAAGCAGTCCCTGCACCTATTATATGCTTCTGTAATCTTTTCTTCACTACCGCCTACAAGTAAGGTAGAGTTGTATAATAAATACCACAGGAAATGAAATTTAAGTTCAATTAAATGCTCTTTTTCCTTAAGTTCAGCGGTGTTACTAAGTCCGATTATTATTATAATAATAAAAAAGAAGCGCTAAACCAGAAGGGCTATACAGCGCTGCTACTAAGTCCGAAATACATATCTTTGATGAACTTCGAGAGTCTCACTACTCTCGGAGCCCGGCCATAGGCCAGGCTCGTCCCACATGAACGAATTTAATTAACACAGAACTTGTCTTCTGAACGAGTGTATTTGTAGGATAATAGTCACATAACTGTAGCTGAAACAGTTTACAATCCACACTTTAGAGGGGAAATTTTAGGCAATTTTTCGGTCCGTCCTGGACCATTATCAAACCGCTTCATAATTTTCAAGACCAGACCGATGCATAATATTAGTTTCTTGTATAAACAGTGAGTTACTAGTTAAGTGTAGCGGCATGTATACGAGTCTAAGAATTACCTCAGTTATAAATTGGGCTTCGTTATCTTTAGATATCAACTATCACCTTCGAGATATCGACAGACTCCTCGAGAAGTGTCCACTTGCCGAACTGCCATAAACAAAAGGCATGATTATCTCTAATGCATAGTTAACTTCATGATAACAGAGATATTCTCTGAGACCACTAATATTGCAATAACTTTTAATGCCATGAACATTAAGGTACACAACCTCATATTTTCACTTACCAGGGATAAAAAGTTTACCAATATTAATATTTGTTTTATTTTGAATAACATCCATTCGAGTTACCGTTGTAATGTTCTTTTGAACTAATGCTCAGTGTTCACTTCTACCTCCACCCCCGCCTCGAGGAGCCTGCCTAGGCTTGAGAGACGGGACACGGGATGAAGAACTTTTCCCCGTGGCTACCAACATACCGACTAGAACCATGCTGGCAGGATGCCACAGCAACAACCTTAGGATAATCAATCCCCAGCATCCTCCCTAGGGCTGGGTTCGTCCATCTAGCACCCGTTAAGGTCACCTTGGCTCATAATCCATAACCTGACCATTGCCTAGTGCCATGACCAAGCCGTCATGGACCTGATTGTCTCTTGGAGGTCCTCGACCTTCAGGTTGCGATGAACAGAGCGGTCACGTCAACCATGACATAGCTTTCCAGGACTTATCTAAAGCATCTCGAGAGCTGCTCCAATTAAAATAAAGTAGGACAAGTTAGGAGAGGTCAGGATGAGGTAAATTTCTAACAGTTTTTACAAACAAACAAATAAGTACAGTAGCTGCAATATTATTGACAGGAGTCATAAGTTTCACTTACTACCTCACAGTCTACGAAGAGCTTCTACATATGCACGATATATGCATGCACACATGTAAGCGGAAGCGCACATACTGTCGTCAAACACAGCAGTTAAATAATCCATAGTGTATAGTCGAATGTAACCGAATACAATTAGGTAAACAGCTTTGGAAACTATATAATACACCGGATATTGAGCGGCTGGTCTACAAGGCGTCTCCAGCGTCGAGAATTTGCCACCACTGTTATGTTGCGCCAGTCAGCGAGCAGAGTAATATGGTGCATATGTAATTAAACTGTGTCGAGGGCTGGACTTTTGGAGCGCCATGACCAGGATAGAAAATCACTTGTAGTGTTTATGTAATAGTTACACAACCTCTTATAGACATGGCTTTTTACCTTGCAGATTTAGGCTCGTGTGAGGATGGAGAGACAGTCAAAGAACCTGTTTTGTTTTTCTCCCAGGAATCTGCGAAGATTTCATTGAAGCAAAAAAGATACTAGGAATGTTTTCTTCAGAGAGAAAGAGGAAGAATAACGAAATGGGATGCTAGGAAAGGTAGTCAATTTTATAGCACATAGAACAGTAAACAAATTAAATGTGATAAATGAAAAGTAAAAACGAGACACCAGTAGCAGAGATTTCCTCGTATAGCTACAAACACTGACACCGGGACATAATATAGCTCTGCTCACGTAGTTACATTAAGGCAGCGCTGTGGCCAGTCTTGTGCTGAAGCTGAGACCAGTAACCGGTTTACAGGAATTAATTTTGACTCGTGAGGCAGACTGGCCGGAGTGAATGCTGACTAAGATACCTAAAAATATACCCGTGACTGGTTTCGAGAGTTCTACTCTTGCATCCTAAGGGTAGATTTTCATATACTCTGTCTAGTAAGCCAGGCTATTACTGCCAGCATGTCTACTTATCCATTACATTATGGTTTATCTGGCACCTTTTACAAAACACTGAACAGTCAAGTTTTTTCTTGAAAAAATAAATGGCTATCTTGGTTGCGGCAATATTTCTTATATATGGTAGCAGCAGGTTGAGAGTCTTCAACCATAAATATTGACCGTTTTCTACTTGTATCTAAGGTATCTTTGCTCTTCATAAGGTTTATCCTACGCTTCCTTACCTCTCAATTATGTCGCTATGGCAGTGTGTAGATTGACAGCCTGACTCAAGTAGGTTCTCAGCGTTCACTTACTGACAAGTTTATTGAGAATTATCATAGTTAACGTTCGTAGACAGTGGAAATTGCCGAGTGACGTAATATTCGTGAAACATTCATAAACGATGTCAAAATAACGAATCTCGGATGAATGCGTCTTTATCGCTGTGGAAGACACACACACACACACACACACACACACCTTACACTATACATTAATAAATCTCTATTATAACTGTATAAGAATTATCTGTCGATCCACGTATTCACGAGACAATTAAAAGAGAAGCATTAACCCTTTCTACTCGTCACTCTTATCTTACCATCCACTGGCTTCTCCCTCACATCGACTCTCAATCCCCTAACCTCTCCTTGTACGAGTGCGAAAGCGAATATAATTGTAAAGTAAACCAAGTTGTGCGTGTACACTGATCTTTATGACATTTCACAAAGTTAGAACAAGTTCAAACGATATTTACCTAGGAGCCCCATCACTTACGATTGTCATTCTTATAATGGATGCAATGTATTAGCTGGGAGTTCATCTTCAGTCTTTCCAGCAGATCCTAAGTTTTTTCACTCTGGAACTACAGTCCTCTCACACACGATAACGAATTACTTTATTCACAAGAGTGCCAACAAAACAGGAGTAAGTTACATATTCAACACGGCTCCGAGGGCATTTCCTTCGCACGGTAGTGCAAATATCAGAATAGAGAAGCAGGTACTTGGGAAGTAGGGACGTGAATTTGGCACTGCATTTCAGTCAAGGTGCTAGCAGCCGGAATTGTTTTGAAGAGTATTGCAAGTCGTCCTCCTAAAACCAAAGCCGACTTATTTTTACCTAGTGTATCATGCAAATTTATCGATATACATAATTTAGGTTAGGTTTGGTTTGACCTGCTTAGGTTACGCTAGGTTAAGTTAGGTTTAGTTAGCTTAAACTGTCATGTGCTAGGAGAAGTTAAAAAAAAGATAAACCAATATCCTGTAACGTCAATAAATGGAATAACGCGGAAATATTATATAATCTTCTGAAGAACGAACAAAACCGGGGACTCACCGAGGGGACTTAAATGGTAAAGTTTTCATTGTAGCGTCAACGTCACACGTCTGACGGTCGTCAGCCAGAGTGAAGTGCTGACGTTGAGGAAGGTGAACTGAAGAGTGACTAAGCTATGACTACACAGCAATATTTTTAAGGTAAATAACAATTAGAGAAGTTTGATTATATGTTCTATGTCCATCTGTTTGTGTGAGAATCCCGATGTATGTCCGTTCGTTAGCTCTCTCTCTCTCTCTCTCTCTCTCTCTCTCTCTCTCACACACACACACACACACACACACAGACACACACACTACGTACCATGTAGAGTGGAGACACATTGGGCAGCGTCATCTCTGAAGGTGGGCGTGTTGGGGACACACTGGCACTGACACGCCTCTCCTGGCCCTACCGTCGCCACGCCTCCTCCCTCACCACACCCACACCCGCCCACGCCTGCAACACAAACTTTATGTTAGTACTAAAAATACATTAAATATAATACCAAAAAAGCATCATTAACATCAGTGTTTACATTGAATATATATACATCTTAAACAATCACCAAAGAGCAACACATCACAATTTTAACACAAAAATAAAAACACTAACACCAGAATTTAAACACATGATTAAAACTACAAACTACATAAACTTAATTTAAATCACTAAGGCATATCGTAAACATAGTGTTTTAGTTAACAGTAAAATGTTAACTAAGGCACATCCTATACATAACCCCAAAATAAAAGCTTTTAATAGATAAGGCATTTGTATTATAAAAAAAAAATTAGCATCTGTGAATCAAGATATGCAGATTTTTGTCCTAGTTAATGCCCGATTTTAAATTTCCAAAGTTGTAAGAAAACCCCGACCATTGAAGAAGTGGGAGATAGAGTTCAAAATACAGTATTTACATCATTAGAATAAATTAACAAATGTACTGTATAACATACAGGCAATATTGGAGTGGAACATCAACCACAGCGCTCGCGAGTTTCCACAGCAGACACACAAATTCTCACAACGACCACAAAAGTTACCACAGCAGCCGCTAAATTTCCCACAGGAGACATAATAAATTTTATCAGCATCTAAAAGCGTTTTCACAGTTGTAAAAGTTTTCACAGCAGTTGTAAAAGTTTTCACAGCAGTTGTAAAAGTTTTCACAGCAGTTGTAACTCTTGAGAGAAGTCACAAACGTTGTCATATCAGGTATTAAAGTTCTCACAGGAGCTACAAAAGCCACAGAATACCTCACAGCAGTCATAAAAGACCTCAAAACGAGCACAAATGACTCGCATCGGCCACAAAAGACCTCATGGCAGCCACAAAAGACTCACGCTCGTGGAGTTTAGAGGTCTCTGGTCTGTTACACTGACACTGGTCAACTCGCACACATCTGTTCTGCCTCACTTTGTGGCAGGTGTTTTAGTTACGAGTCACACTTTAGCCTGGTGACGATTTGGTGTGAAAGTACTACGAGTTTTGGTCACCTGACACTAGCCTCTGTTTTACAAGCTAGTGCTTGAGAAGAAGCTGTAGGCACTAGTGACGTAGCCTCTGTTCTACAAGCTAGCCAATAAGCAGGAGCTTTTGTGCATATCCAGACGTACTACCCTCTCTTCTACAAGACGTACTAACCTCGTTACTTTACGACCTAGTCCCTGAGTAAGAGCCACTAGTACCTAGAGTACCTGAGCACTTCCTGAGATACTGATCTCTACACCGTCTTCACTCAGTTTATATTTTTTCAATTTTTCCCCTTGGTCTATGTGCTCCTTCACTCTCTTTGCCTTTCTTTACCTGTTTGAACTTTTTCATACTGTTTCCTAGGCTGAAGTGTCTGCTGGTGGTACGGGAATGGCTGTTCCATTGATTTTCAGGTTGAAGTGTCTGCTGGTGGTACGGGAATGGTTGTTCCATTGATTTTCAGGTTGAAGTGTCTGCTGGTGGTACGGGAATGGCTGTTCCATTGATTTTCAGGTTGAAGTGTCTGCTGGTGGTACGGGAATGGTGTTCCATTGATTTTCAGTTGAAGTGTCTGCTGGTGGTACGGAATGCTGTTCCATTGATTTTCAGGTTGAAGTGTCTGCTGGTGGTACGGGAATGGCTGTTCCATTGATTTTCAGGTTGAAGTGTCTGCTGGTGGTACGGGAATGGCTGTTCCATTGATTTATCTTGCCATTCCAGTCAGCCGTACTGGTTATATCTACACACTGGAGAGTATACAAAGGACTTGATTTTTTTTTATTGTACATTTCTTACCATGTATTATTAAAATTTATTACTTTTCATTTTTTTCGCATTGACTTTGGGAAATGATATAATCGTTCAAGTGAATTAACGTCCTCAGACAAAAGAGTATAGTTTGTTATATAAACTGTAAACAGGCGACCTGTAGGTCTGGAAGATGGAGTCCTGATCTGGGTTTGTATGAGACGAAGACCATTTAGCAAAATTCGAAATTAAATACCTTCACATACACAAACAGATCTGTTTGTGACTTGATAAAGCCCACTGTGTGGGCGAAACGTTGCCAATAAGGATCGCATTATTCTGCATTTGTGTCCATTTTTCCACAAATAGGTAAAGTGACCAGCTGTCCCCAGTGGCTTACATGTACAGGGGGATTGTGGTATATTAAGTAGTTCGGCTCCAGTGCAGCTTTTGGTCATTTGGCCAAGGTCTTCTGATGGCTTAAATCCAGACATTCCAATAAACACGCATGGTAAACAGGTTTTGAGCAATCTGCAAGAATAAATTACCCCCAGTGTGTATACTGGTGTGCTGGCAAACAACATTATGGAACATTACACAAGACATGTAGATACAATCACCCAAAGAAATGCCGTAAATTCCTCATTGATGGAAGAAAATATCACATTGCTGACTGTTTTGAAGATTAAGACCCAAGTTACAACACAATCCTTTCATGGGACACAATCTGATAAAGCTCTACACTGAGAGAAAAGCTCTCTCTCATAAGAAGCTTGTTCCGCAGCTTCAATCTTTGTCCTGATGCTCAGGTAGAATTTCTTTTACAAGTAAAAGAGTTTGTATGTAAACAGTGTTTACATACACTGACTGATTTACTATAACACGTAAACAACCACATCTGTCTGGTTTTATTCTTATTATTGTTATTATATCCACAAGGGAATGAAACACCCGAAAGGATCAAACAGCGCCTGAAAAATGGAAAATGTCATCCGAGGGAGGGGAGGGTAGCTCCCGGTTGTACGATCCTTATATGCATGAGAGTTGATGAGGGAATAAAAGGGATGGATGGAAGGTGTAGATGAGGAGGCGAGGTGAAGAAGCAGCAGCAGTAAGTAACGGTAACTGACAACGGAACAACAGTGGTAACAGATGGGTTAGGTACAAGGCCGACCCGTCGGCTCACCGCAGTCCACCACTCACACCCATCGCTACACACCAGCCCACCACCCACACCCATCACTACACACCAGCCCACCACCCACACCCATCGCTACGCTATTCATAAGTGATAGTAACTCCAGCTCTACTGGAAGGAAACCTCAAACTCCCGTAGATAATGAACCCTTCATGGAATGCTTGACGAGATCCTCATTACCCTACTGAAGTCTACCAGCTCAGGCTGACACTACTGAAGTCTACTAACTCAGGCTGACACTACTGAAGTCTACTAACTCAGGCTGACACTACTGAAGTCTACCAGCTCAGGCTGACACTACTGAAGTCTACCAGCTCAGGCTGACACTACTGAAGTCTACCAGCTCAGGCTGACACTACTGAGGTCTACTAACTCAGGCTGACACTACTGAAGTCTACTAACTCAGGCTGACACTACTGAAGTCTACCAGCTCAGGCTGACACTACTGAAGTCTACTAACTCAGGCTGACACTACTGAAGTCTACTAACTCAGGCTGACACTACTGAGGTCTACTAACTCAGGCTGACACTACTGAAGTCTACTAACTCAGGCTGACACTACTGAAGTCTACCAGCTCAGGCTGACACTACTGAAGTCTACCAGCTCAGGCTGACACTACTGAAGTCTACTAACTCAGGCTGACACTACTGAAGTCTACTAACTCAGGCTGACACTACTGAAGTCTACCAGCTCAGGATGGCACTCTCTCCAGGTCACGACAGGTCATGCTAGGCCTGATCATAATAGGTCACACTCAAAATAAATGACAAGAAAAGTATCGTTCGGGAAAAAACAGAGGTCACGAAAGTTTACAGTCAGCCAAGAGTGAGGTCAGACGAAGTCACGCTAACTCTCTCGTAGTCAGGAAAGTCACTATGGACTTCCAGGGTATTTTTTTTTAGAGTATCATGATATAAACATTCTGTTTCTTGCTTTGTCTTTTGCTGGTAATATAAACACAGTAGAACCTCTGTATACGGAATTAATTGGTTCCCGAGTGTGTTCTGAATATTGAATTTTCTCAATATTTTTTTTTTTTCACAGGATATATTGTAAATTGAATTATTTCGTCCTAGACCCCGAAAGATACTCTTCACAAACCATTAAGTCAGAATATTGGATAATTAAACTAATTAAACTTGTAAATAACATATACCAGCATGAAATCCTACATGAACCTGCAAGAATTTTATCTCCTGTTGCCACATTAGCACTTTTTATTGTCTTTTATTTTTTATAACAGAAAAAAAGGTAGCTGTTGACATGCTATATTCTTTGGTCAACAAGACTTATTCCATTTTTCCTGTTTTGAAATAAGTTCCTTATTTAGTTTACTGGTGGTTCTTACAGGTTTCCTTTTAGTTTTTTCCTTACTGTTCATATTCAGGGCCATGATCACTTATTTTCAATAACAATAACATAATGTTATGCAAAAAATAACAATTGAATGACACGAGCTCAAAAAGCATGCTCCAGGCCTCTCGCGTTGCAATCAACACATCAGGAGCTTGCAATGTTGCAGAAATGAGTAGGAAGTCCCAGCAGATTAGTTCGGTAGAACGTTCTTGCCAACGTTCTTGGTAAGAACGGCATATAGGGCGCACGAGCATATGAGACTTGTTAGATCATGTTTTCAAGCAGTTGTAACGTAACGTTAGTAAACAACTGCTAAAGCGTAACCCAAAACCTACCCTTGACCTTGACCTGGTAGACACCAGCCGCCCAGGGAGGTACTACCGTCCTGCCAAGCGAGTGTAAAACGGAAGCCTGTAATTGTTTTACATGATGGTAGGATTGCTGGTGTCTTTTATTCTGTCTCACAAACATGCAAGATTTCAGGTACGTCTTGCTACTTCTACTTACACTTAGGTCACACTACACATACATGTACAAGCATATATATTCACACACCCCTCTGGGTTTTCTTCTATTTTCTTTCTAGTTCTTGTTCTTCTTTATTTCCTCTTACCTCCATGGGGAAGTGGAACAGATTTCTTCCCCGTAAGCCATGCGTGTTGTAAGAGGCGAACTTAATAT